GGGCTGCTTTGGGGGTTTTTTTTATTTTATTTTTTTTTAACTTTTGACAATAAAAGCGCTGGGCATCGCTCTTGCTTCCCAAAACGCAACCGAGTCACGGAGACCAATGCGTAATTTTTTTTGCCTTAAGATATTTCGGGTTCGGCGAGGGCTGGGGAAGGGTCTGGTGCACCCGGAGTTCCTGACGTTTTGCATTTCTGTGCGTGTGTGCCTGTGTGTGCCAGCAGAGAATCTCTCTATCCTGGAAGAATGGTGAAACTGGGGAATAATTTCAGCGAGAAGAGCACAAAGCAGCCCCTTTTGGAGGATGGATTTGACACCATCCCCCTGATCACACCCCTGGATGTCAATCAGCTCCAGTTCCCACCTCCTGATAAGGTACAGTAGGCTTTAGTTTCCACCCTGGAGAATCACACCCAAATCTCAGGCAAACAACAAAAGAATAGGTTATGTGTAATGAGCGGCTTAGAAATGTCAAGAAATACAAGGTGGTTTAAGGCATGCTCCTTCCCTCTGGGCAAAAAAACCTAACAGTTAATCTAATGAAAATCCAGTAGTAGTGATTTGCATTAAAAAGCGGTGGGAAACGTTAGCAATAGGCATATATAGATTTCAGTGAAATACACATACACATGCAAGCTTCTTTACCCTGTATTGTCATAGCTCTTCCTAGCCTGGAAGGTCTTGTGTGTTCTCTGTGAACAACATTAATTTTATCTGTCCAGAAAAAAAACCCCTGATAGGGGGGGAAAACACTGCTTTGTGTCTTTGCAAGATGTGCATGGGCAGGCTGGACACAGAGAGGAAGAACTCCCATGTTTCCTTCTGTGCTTCGCAAGGAAATTAATGCTAGCCCCAGACAAGCTGAAATAAAGAAATGAGAACAGGCCACCGAGTTGTCTCCTTGGCAAATTACTTGGTTCAAAACCCTCCAGATAGGTGATTCAGATGGTCCGTAGCTGGAACAGGGCAGTCCAGCGTGCTGCTCACGGTTTGGAAGGGAAATGTGCATCCTGGATTCCTCATTACATGGCTTGATTACTAAGGATTTAATTTTAAGCATTTAGGAAGGTGATGTGGTAGCCTGTAAATATGTATATTCTCCACGCAATAAAGAATTAAGTTGTATTACTACAGGTAAGGCATACAGCAGTAGGATACTTTTTCATATATTTCAGTATTCTGTTTTTAGTATCCTGTTTTAGTCGGATACTTACTAGCACATTTCTCACATCACATCTGGCAAAAAAGCTTTGCGGTCTTTGAAAAATAAAAAATTTAACTGGAAAATGGTCAGTAATATCTTAATGATGATTTTTTTTTTTAATTGGCATTGTGTCCTCCATGAGCTCAGTTCTGCTTCTAGATAAACTGATAGCTATTCATTCCTCGTAGCTCAAAAAAATTCACATAGTCTTATCTTGGGGTAAAGAATTTTAGCTTGTGAAATTTGCCTCAGTAGAATGTTGCTTGTGGGCAATACACATAAATTTGTGACCTCCATTTTAATTGCTATCAACATCATTCTGTGTTGTGTGTGGTGACCAGTTGGCAGGCATAAATGCAATAAGCCATAACAGATGTTAGAGAGCCTGAGGGTCCATTTTCTGCCCTTGGTTACATGGGTGTAAATCTTGTAACTGAGGACAAAATTGCACCCTAAGGCTTTAAAACAAGTTAGGTCTTACTGTGTCTGATACGCCTGCCAACTGGTGACTGGGTATAAGCAATTGCTAAGGACCAACATCCAAACGAATTTCTTACACTACTGCACTGCTAAGCAGCAGTCTGAACTAGGGAGCTGTATGGTAATGGGTTTAACCTGAGTGGAGCCTCTGTAGTGAACCCAGGAGGTTCTGTGCCAGCCTCATTGCTCCTACTAGAATGGGGCAGAACTCCTCCCACTTCCATGGCATTTGCCTTGAACGAAAAAAATGTACAACTAGACTGGAGGCTTAAATAAAGGGGTATTTGATTGGCTCTTCTGCTCTTTTCACTGTCTCTTTGAATATTAGCTTTTCTTTCCTTTCCTTCTGCAAACACAGAAGGAAAAAAATATAAATGTATTTATTGGTGCTGCTGGCTTCCATTAGAAACTGTCTGGTTAATCATGTCAGTGTGTCTTTACTAGTTGCTACAGACTCCATGGCAGTAGTAGAGCAACTAATGTGAAGAAAAAAACCCACAGTATTAAGTAAAGATTGACACACAGATCAAATTCTGAAGTACGAAGACACTCATGTATAATTAATAGGAGTACATACTTCATATCTCTATGCTTATTATTCGCTTACAAGGCTCCAGTATGGCAGTGAAGCATAACTTCTTGAACAGTAGCGGCTATAGTGCTAAGAATTTGGTGATTTTGACAGCTTCTAAATTAAGGGGATGAACTGATTTAAATTTATATTTAGGTATATTAAACAAAAGAAGACATTATATAACCAAGCAGAGAGAACTGTACGTTCAGTGTCAGCTGAATGTGATTTGAGTTGCCTGAGATTATGCAACATGAGGAGGAAGGGAAGTAAAATGTTGAAAAGCATTCAAAAAATCTTTCCTTCCATGATGATGTTGGGCAGTTGTAAAGTTAAATTGTTAATAATTATTTCCTTATTAATTATAGCCAAAACCAGGTAAAGTAGTTTCTAAACCTATGTCCTGCACATACATGTGTAATGCTGTAAAAGTATCTAATAAGCTTTGTGGTACTGAGTATAGGTACAGTTACACATTCTAGGTACCACTTCAGGGAAGCGAGGAGAGGGGAACCCAGAGCTTTAATTTGAGTGCCTGGCTACCTGTAAGTGTCACAATCTCAATTTCAGAATAATGTAGTTGCTATTGATACCATGGGCTGCTCTAAAGATAGAATCTAGTTCTAAAAATCTGAAAGAGTCCAGCGATTTATTCTTTGGAACAACAGGGAAAATTGAGCAGATCTGAAGAGCGCTTGTCAGTACTGTAAACTGCACCCTATCTTGGGAGTGATACTTTGAAAAAGGTCCTGAAAAATTGTAGAAGACAAAAATGAGGCAAATAGGTTAGGTATGTGAAAATTCTGAACAGTTAGAATGCCTAGGAGAGCACTAGACATATGACTGACGTAATGAATATTTTAGGAATACAGGTAAGGTTCTAAATTGCGTAGCTTGGGGCAGTAGCTCATAGCAAGGACTAAACTGAAGTTAAAAAGCCTTGGGTGTTTTCAAGAAATCTCATTAACACAAGGGTTTGTGTGCATTTTGCTGCTTGCAGCTAGTAATTCAAAAGTTAGAAGTTAAAAATAAAGAGTGCTGAGAGCTATAGTTTAGCACATATTGAATAGCAACTAGATGGGTTGTTTCTCTTCTTTTAAACTCAAAATCCTGCCATCAAAGAACGTGGCTACTGGCAGCATCACAGTCTGCTAGATTTCTATGGGCACTCTTGAATAATCATCTGATCCTATTGATCTTCAGTCTGAAATCCCATTAATGGGATCTCCTGAAGGAAATGGGGGTGGCTTTTTTCAGACTATACAAAGTGGGAAGCTTAATGATTTGTATTTGAACTAAGTAGATGCTTGCCTAGTACAGCAGCACAGTACCACCACAGCTGAAAAAATTGAACATTTGTGAAACTGTCGCAATTGCAAGTCTTCGTGTAGGTCTGTCAAAACCACTTTGAGAGATACTTTTGTTGATGATTGCTGTGACAGGAAAAATAACTAACAGCTTGCAGCTTCCAAAGAAGAATTACACAAAGTGGGGGAAAAAAAAATACTGTGCTAGATGTGCTTGTAAGCAGGTAAAAGAAGAGTTAATGAATAAATAAGATTCCTGTGGTTGGTTTAGCTGACAGCTTTATTATTTTTACTTTTTTTAAAGGTTGTGGTTAAAACGAAAACAGAATATGAACCTGATCGCAAGAAGGGAAAGTTCCGTACTCCTAAAATAGCTGAATTCACAATCAGCATCACTGAAGGGGTTTCAGAAAGATTTAAGGTAAGCACTGCTATCTGAAGATGTTAATGACTCAATTGTGCTCACGCAGGTCCTTAGAATCAATTGCTGATTGTAGTCAAAAGGGGCTGTAACTAACAGAGTGGCTGTTGTGGGTATAGCTGGACATGAGAAAAATAAATTCTGTGTTATAAAGGTTCAGTATTTAGCAATTAGAAGCAAAAGCAAATCTTGCAGCGTTATTGCTTGTGATCCCTCACTGGCAAATGAATTCAGAAGGCACTTCTGTCAGCATGTGGGTTTCAGAACGTGGCTGGCCAGGGTGCACGTGGGCTGCAGGCAGGTAGCTCTCATGGCATGGATAAAGCTCCTATTACTGTTGAAGGACAAGAACCACAAGAGTGTTTGTTTTCTTTTTGGCTTATTACTTTTCACTGTGGCCAAACCATTTTCTTAAAAGCACTGTCATAGTCCATTATCTATTTTTTTAATAGTTAAATGTATGACTTGGCAGCTCTGGGATGCATACCAGACAGAGCCCTTTGCTATCGGTTTTCCTGGTCCAATTGTATTTTACAGCTTGGTGACAATTGTTACTGGCAGATGGCGTTCAGCAAGAATCTGACTTGGATTTACTCTTTAGTGTCCACACCCCTATTACTCCCTTTAGTAGTCCCAGAGGAAAGCTTGAGAGCTTAACTGGTGCAAGGATTGCATTACCTTTTCCCCCTTTTCACTGGAGGATAGGTTTTCTTGCTCTGTGTAAGTAAAGCAAAGCTGGAAAGTTGGCACTTAAGCTCATGTTTTCCTACCTGTTTTCTTAACAAAGGAAGACTACAGCCTTTCAGTGCTGTTACTTTGGCACCTCACCCAAGGTTGCCAAAGCATTTTTAACAGTAGGCAACCACACCGTTCGGTGCACAACTACAAACACATTTGGAAAGCCTAGTGTTTAGTACAAGGGAAAAATAGAGTTTCAGTAAAGATGTAGATTCTCTTTGTATTGCACACTTCTAACCTCTGTTTGCATGGTAGGAGTTTTAAGGTACACCCAAAGATTCTGGTTCTGTAATTTGAAGAATGAAACACAGGAGCTGTGCCTGACCAGTGGTTCTAAAAGCTGTCCAGGCCCAAGCCTACCTTCAGAAGTGTATATACAGCTGTCTGCGGAATTGGAGCATGCTAAGCAAACAAAGTGAAGGCTCAAGGAGGGGTTAGATGCTTTAGGCTACATGTGCAAAGGAACTTTGCAGTGTTGCCAGGACAGATGTTTTAAGTGCAGGTCACCTGGTGGAGTCTTCAGCCATACAGTGAAGCATGTAGGCTCCCAGTACGCTGTGTGAGGAACTACCCCAGATAGCTAATAAGACATGTTATGGGGTCTGGCAGGGATACTAAGGAGGTAAGAAACCTAGTTCCAGTTTTTCTGTTCCCTTATGTGGAGCAAGGACATCCCATCCCTCAGGGAAAATGCTACATTCTGACTAACGTTCTCTTGTTCTCCTCCTGGAACCATAGTACCAGCCCTTGAAGAATAATCCCCTTCCTTTCAGGTGAGGGTTGTGCATGCTAGATTGTGTTAAGATGCAGAGGGACATCTCAGAACAGATGGGACTGTCAGGACTTAAGTCTGGCTGTCTTCTGTCTGTCTTTTGCATGTGTCCTGGTCACACTAAGGTGATCTGAAAATGCTCACTACATTGTAGAAGAGACAGAGGAAAAAGTGTTTAGTTTGAGTACCTTCCTAGGACTTCGGTTCCAAGCAACTGAGCAGAACCTATACCTGAGGAATTTTGCACTTATCCTCTGTCTGTAGGGACTAAGGGATTTCATTGCTTAAATATTAAATTGTAGATAAGGAAGGATTTTTAATCTTAGTTGCATCTAAATGTTTTGTGCATCTCTTTGTAGATCTGGGTTCTTTCTGTCTTTGTTGGGAGAGCTGAGCAAATGAAACCTCGCTGAACAACAAATAAATAGCTAGTTGTGCTGTTCGGTAGTCTTTTCTAATTTGTATAGCTGAACAGTTAGAAGCCTGAGCATTTTTGCATTGCATTTTCATATACCTTTGGCTGGCATACTTAAATAAAATGTCTTTCAGATATTACTTTATGAGGATCACTCTGGGATTAATCTCATACTACAGGGTTGCTAGGTTTTGCTGCTAGGTAACTACTGCATCAGAGAGAGGTTTCAGTAAGATTTAGTATCTCCTGGGAATTAAAAGGTGATTCACACTGTGGCTGTGAGTCTAGGCTTCCAAAGAAGAGTGTGGGGGTTGATCAGTTAGGAAAATTGTGGTTCGGTTAATTGAAAACAATAGTTTCTTGCAGAACATTCAGGTCCTAAAAATGTCCCTTAATCTCTGTATAACAGTTCTGGAATTGAATTATGCTGCTTGCAACATTTTGAAGAGAACTGACTGGTTCTCTAGCCGGGATGATTGTCACATTCACCACTCCCAGTAGTAAATGTTACATGAATAATTGATGAAATTTCATAAATATGTAGATGAAAAGTACCGATTGTGTGAGGTTTTCTCCTGGGTCCTTATTAATTGTGAACCATCATGTTAACTGCTGCTGTTGATTCTGAGAGAGCAAAAGGATATTTGTTTGAAAATTAAATATTTGCTATAATTATGAAATGCATTATTTAACTGGTTGGATATTGACTTTGGCTTGTGTTCATGAAAAATGCTTCAGATGCTGTCCTAATGACTTCAATATTGTACATCACCGATGCACAAGTTTGCCACAAGACACAGCCCAAATGTTGTGCTAAAAATAAAAAAAAGCCAGTCAGTCATATTTACAAATAATTCACATGTGTATATCTAAGATGTACTTCTTAAATAAGGACAAAGCAGATTGGATTTTTGGGATTCAGCAGTGCAAATCATCTAAAGCTGTTCTTCAGAAATTTTACATTATAACAAATGAAGCATCTCCAGCATGTGCATATGTCATGTAGATCATTTGGTATTTTAGCAGCTGGGTGAATAAGAAATTATAAAACATATTTTCTGCATTGAATCCACATTACCACAGTTATTACAACAGAGATGAGAATGTTTACAAAGAAAACTGCAAGTATAATTTTGCTGTATGAAGCCACATTCTGAATTCAAATCAGAATCTGTCAGGAGAATGTGAAGACTTCCTGATTCTGAGAACCCTGTTGTCTTCATTAGTTTTACGGCACTGACCACACCAAGGAAGATGTGTTTTTTCACTGAAGATTATTTTTCATTGAGAAGTAGAAGTCTTGCTTTTGTTCTTTGGACAGTGTAGGCTGATGTGTGCAGTTGGTCCTTCACATCTGGAAAGTGACTTTGAATGAGGCAGATTTTTCTCTCCTGTAAATTGTGTGCTGTACAGAATAACACAACAAGGCTGGACATGTGATTTCAAAGGTGTCTTATGAATGAGGACATCGGAGGAAGCTATTGCAGGAGAAAATTGATGGTATCAGTTACCCAAGGCCAAACCTTTACCTCCCCCATTGACAGAGCAGCGTTTTTAGAAACTCCAGTTGGATTTTGTAGTGGGATGTCTGTTCTGGCAACCATTGAATTGTCTGCAGTTGACAGTTGTGCACAAATACCCCAATTTAAAAAGTTGTCTGTTGTATCAAAGCATGAGATTTTTTCCTGTCTTTGGGGAAACCTGAATAAAGAACATTCAGAAGTATTTTGAAAGCAAACACTTAACGTTTCCCAATAAATTTCAAGCCCTTAAATAAATGCAAGCTGTGGTATGCCTTAAACCATTTGGTTTTGTTCAAAGGCAATTCAGTTCTTCAGACTTTATCCTTGACATCTCTACATACATCTAACTGGAGAGCCAAAGCCTGAAGCTTATTAGTGTGGTAAGACCATATGGTGCAAGCCATGTACTATCAAGTAGCAGGCAGTTGTTGAAATGTCTGCATGAAGTTATGGAAGAGGAATTGAGACTTCCTTTGAAAATCAGTTCTTGCAGTTTTACCTGGTCATTTTAAGACTGAAAAAATGTATGCAACATATATTTAAATATTTCATGTTTGATCTGTCTTAAAGCGGCACCCTTCAGAACATATTTCTGCCTCAAGATTTTTTTACCTGTTCTTAGTAATACGAATGATTATTTTTGTTGCAAAAATAATCAGAGACAAGGAAAATACTCTCTTGGTTTCTGTGTGATTACTCTGTGTGTTGGTAGCTCTTTGCTCTCACTTAAAAAGTCTGTTCAGTGCATGAGATGTCAGCTGGTTCCTATACAGGATATCGGCTCCTTGAGTATATTCTGTGTCTGTCACTTAGTGCTGGAAGAGTGACGGGTACTTACTGCCATGAGTGGTTCTGTTTTCTTCAGTATAACTACTCACAGGATTGAAGTTGCTCGAAGTATAAACGTTTGTCAGGCTTTGAGTTTTTCCTCTATTACTTCAAGCAAGAAAAATAAAGGAGATTCTTCTTTCAGTGTAACTGCTATTTTAAAACAATTTATGTAAGTAAAGGCACTGCATGGCAACTGTCGTTCTTCCATGTTTTACATTCCCTGATATGACACTGACAATCCTTCTGCTAAATTTTTGGTTAAAAGGAATTTTTTTACAGTCAGAGCTGGAAGATTTAAGTAAAGAGAATGCCTAACAGCAGCTCCCCTGCTCTAAGTCAGGTGTCCTCTGCCATTGTATCCATTAGAAGTCCTTTTCTTGGAGCAGAACCAGAGACACTGGTGACACAGAAGATGTTTTGTGCCTCTTCAGATCTAACACTTACATAGCCTTTCCTCTTCTGTAGTAACCTTTTACAGCCTTTTTCCTGGCCTTAGTAGTATCTCCTTGGTTTGTATGGGAAGGTAACAAGGTTCTTATCTCAGGGTGACAGGGTTTCTTCAACTGCTTCCTCAGATCTCTGTAGTTAAGAAGCTAATACATGGTGCTGTGTGATGGAAGATGATGGAACACTCATGAACAGCTGTGTTAAGCCACAGTGCTAGACTCTCAAGGCCACTGCCTTGTTATCTGTTTTTGTTAAGCCACAGTGTTAGACTCTC